TGAATTTCAATTTTCTACCTACAATATTTTTTGAATAAAAAACTAAAACCGTTGAAATAAAAAAATATGACTAAAACATCAAAATTATGAAAATTGTTTTCCTTCATTTCATAAAAATCTTTTAATCTTCTCAGTTTTATTTACAATTAAAAATTGTGATTACCAATAGAATTTATAAACAATTTTGTCCATTATTACTAAAAATTTCTGATATTTTGTGAAAAAGATTATGATTATGAAATAGAAAGTATGCAAATTTTTTTTCATTAATTTCTTTAAAAAATTATATTTTCGATATTAAAAATTATGATTGAAAAATAGAAATTTTAAAAAAAAAACTACAAATTTTGTAACCCATAAAAATAATTAACAAATCAAAATTACAAAAGTTTTCCTTCATTTTAGAAATGACAAATCGAATTTATAAATTGTTTTTTTGTTTTTAAAATACATCACATTTTGTTCAATAAATTGTGATGAGAAAATAGAAATTATGACAATTTTTTTTATTTATTTCTTTAAAAAATGATAGTTTTATGAAAAAATTGTAGTTGAGAAACATAAATTCTTGAAATTTATTTCTTTTTTCTTTTCTTTTTTTAAAAAAAGGAAAATTAGGATTTTGTATAAAAATTGTGATTAAAAAATTAAAAATATAAAAATCATTTTTCAAAAGAAACTAAAAATTTTGTGAACCAAAAAATAATTAACAAAACAAAATTACGAAAAAATTTTTCCTTTACTTTACAAAAATCTTGAAATTTTCAATTTTAATTGCAATTAAAAATTTGTAATAATTGACAAATCGAATTTATAAAAATAAAAATTATTTTTCTTAAAATATTTGAGATTTTGTTCAAAAATTGTGATGAGGAAATAGAAATTATGCAAATTTCTTATATTTATTCAAAATTAATCAAAAATTTCCCTTTATTTTATAAAAATCTTTTAAAATTCTCAGTTTAAATTTCAATTAAAAAATTTAAATTGTTAAATCAAATTTTTAAAAAAAGCTCTTTATTTTATAAAATTTTTGAGATTTTGTTCACAAATTGTGATAAGTAAATAGAAATCATTCAATTTTTTAAAAATTATTTCTGAAAAGAATAAAATTTCAAAAAAAAAAAATTTAATTGAGAAATATAAATTGTCCAAATTTTTTACTTTTTTTCATCCTTTTCAGAAATGAAAAGGAAAAAGTGGATTTTGTCTAAAAATTGTGATTGTAAAATAGAAATTATTTAAATATTTTTCATTAATTTCTTTAAAAAATTATACTTTCGTTAAAAATTATTATTAAAAAATAAAAATTACAAACATTTTTTTCCTCTATTTTATAAAATTCCTTTTTTTTTTAATTCTAAGTTTTATTTTTAGTTAAAAATTATGATTGACAAATTGAATTTTAAAAAAATGTTTCTCTTTATTTCTATAAAAAAGAACTTAGAGTTTTTTAAAAAATTGTAATTGAGTAAAATGAATTATGCAAATTATTTTCTTTTAAAAAAACTGAACTTTATACGGAAATTGTAATTGAGAAATAGGAATTATGCAACCTTTTTTTTTGCAAAAGAAACTAATAATTTTGTATACAAAATTTTTATTGAGAAATAAAAAAATATGGAAAATGGATATATTTTCCATTTTTTAATCATAATAATTTTTTAACAATTTTCTAATATTTTATTGCAAATCACAGAAGAAAAACCTGCACAATTTCAATTTTTCAAACAATTTTTTTTTTGTAGAAAAAAAAACAAAAACGTACACAAAACTTAACTTCAAACTGCGGACAGAATGAATGAAAAAATAAAAGATAATAATAATACTAATATTTTTTATTTTATTATAATTTTTTTTTTCATATGAAATTTGATAAATTTTTTACGCTTGTCTATTGAAGTTTATTTGTTCGCTTTCTGAATTTACCTATATAATATATATTTACGATCGCGTGCATCTTTTCTTTTTCCGAAAATGATAATTTTATTTGACAGCATCTCAAAGGTGTAGCCTTTTGATAAATTCATGAAATGATGGGCGAGTGGTTGAACAGTGCAAGTTCTATTTTCTCAAAATCGAATTGATTCTCCTGGGATTTCTGACCACGTTCAAAGCGTGATATTGGGATTTTCTTATCGTTCTGATTTATTCCCTTGATTTATAACACGCGTCAAGTGCAAACTCGTTAAATTTGTACCTAATTTCCTACTTGAAATTTATTACCTCTTTTATCGCAACATTGTCATCGCAAGAAATCCGCCTCTTACATCTTTCGAGAGTTTGTCTCTAATTGAATCTCAATTTCTAAATGTATATATGTGGAAATGAAAGAAAAGGGAATTAAAAAAAAAAAAAATTTGAATAGAGGAAAAAGAATGGAAAATACTTGAATTTGATTTTATTTTTCCCTGATTTCTAGGCAGAATATTAACTTTTTGCCTGAACTCTATGGCAAATTTTACTGCATTTATTTTTAAAAATTTCAACAAAATTCTTTAAAAAAATTCAATTAATTTTTATAAAATTATAGGAAATTTCAATTATATTTAAAAACATTTCGAAAATTCAATTTATTTTGCTTAATTTTTATATATTTTCAAGCATTTAATTAATTTAAGAATTTTGGATTTTATAATTTTATAATTTTTTAACTTTTCGAAAATTTAATAACTTTTCTTAATTTTTAAAATTTATTTTTAATTATTCAATTATTTTAAGAATTTTGAATTATAATTTTTAGAAAATTCAATTATTCACAAGAATTTTAATATACTTTATCAGAAAATCAATTATTTTTCGATTTTTTAACTAAAATTTATGGACAATTTAATTATTTTCTCTAGTTTCAGTACAATTACTTTTAACTTTTAAGTAATAATAATAATTAATAATAATAATTTTCAATTATTATGAAATTTTTTGAAAATTCAATTCTTTTTCGAAATTTTATTATTATTTTTATAATCTATTCGAGTGCTTTTCAAATTTTTTTTTACTATAATTTTTTTAAAAGTTCCAATCAAATGAAAAATTTTAAACAATTCAATTAAAATTTCTTAAAAAGCTATAATTTTTTTAAAATTATAATTAAAATTCTGTAAAACGTAAATAAATTTTAGACTAAATTTTTATTTATTAATTTCTCCAAAGTAATTAAGATTTTCGAAAAGTTTTAGTTTTTAAATTTAATTAGAATTTTGGCCACAATTTTTGAGAAAATGTTTTAATATTATTTTATTTTATTTAATAATTCAATTATTTTCATAAATAACTTTTAATTCGTCGTAGAAAATCAATTATTAAAAAAAAATTCTAAGTAATTCTGCAAAAGAATTCAATTATCTTGATAAACAACAAAATTCTTCACATAAAATCAATTATTTTAAGGAATTTTAATAAAAAATTTTTCCGAATTCAATGATTTTGATAAATATCAAATTTTATCACAAAAATTCAATTCCTTTGAAAATTAATAGAATACTTTGCAGAAATTAATCTATTTTCAAAATTTTTTAAAAATTCTCGTCAAGAATTAAATTATCTTTATAATTCTCAGGAATTCAATTTTTTTTAAAATTTTAATACAATTCTTCAAAAACCTTGGGACTTTTTACCCTACGTACATTATTATTTAAATTCTTCTCAGAAATTCAATTATTTAAAAAAATTTTAATAAAATTATTCAAAAAGTTTTCAATTATTATCAAAAATTGTTGTAAAATTCTTTTATATAATAAATTTCAGTAAGATTTTAATTAAATTTCTTTAAAAAAAAAAAAATAAAGATTTTCAAAAGTTGTTACTAAAATTCTTCGTAAAAATTAAATTTCAAGTTTTTATTATCTAATGTATATTTAATTGAAGAATTTTTAAATATTAAAAATTTCCTAAAATTGAATTGTGAACAGATGGATTTGAAAATTCTCCAAGAACTTTGTCATTAATTTTTATAATATTGCAGAAAATTTAAATTATATTTAAAAAATTTTCGAAAATTCAATTTATTTTGCTTAATTTTTATGCATTTTATTCAATTAATTTAAGAATTTTGGATTTTATAATTTTTAAACATTTTGAAAATTCAATTCCTTTTCTTTATTTTTATATATTTTAAATTATTATTCAATTATTTTAAGAATTTGGAATTATAATTTTTAGAAAATTTAATTATTCACAAGAATTTTAATATATTTTTATCAATTTTATCAATCAATTAAAAATAATTGATTTAAAGAAGAATTTAAGTTAAAAATTCTAGAAAATGTTTATTGGATTGAAATGATGAAAATAATTTTGATGAAGTTAAAGTAAAAATATTTTTTTATAATATAAAATAGTGATTTTATCAGAAGGTCATTTTTAATTATAATAAAACATGAAGAAAGCTATTGCTCCGACTCGAAGACTCGGAGTGATTGATTTCTTCATGTTTTATAATAATTCCCACAGTTGTTAAATTTCGAAAAAATTTTTTTTTTATTTTTTTATTCTATATGTTAATTCCAATGAAAAAATAATGATTAAATATTTATTTAAAGAAGAAGTTATTGATGTTTTGAAATAATTTTACAATTAAAGAAATTACTAAATAGATGTATTAGAAAATTTTTTTTTTTTGAGCATTTAATCATTGTTAGATTGAATCAGAATATTTTAATAGATTCAGTGAAGAAGGCAAAATTTTATCTGGAAATCAGGAAACAACAAAGTTAAATTTTTGTGGCAACCCTGTCCTGAAAAGGAAGAAGAAAAATTAAAAATATTGAGGAATTAGTAAAAAAAACAGAAATCAAGGAAATAATTGATTTTCCTCTCGCCTGAAGGTAAGACGACACCTTAATAAATTAATGAGATTAAACTCCTCTGTTTACGAAGTTCCCTCGAGGAATTGCCAAGCGACATCATTAATAATAGGTGGATGCTTATACAGCTAAATATTGACCAATACTCTGTTGATGAAACATTGCTTAAAGGCATATTTTGCTTTGATGTTCCAGCGTACGTGACATCGAGGTTCCCTTCGGTGGACGTGAGTAGCGTCAAGCAGGTCCTGGCCTACAAGTGCAAAGAGAATTCTACGGCTCTAAAGATGAAGTCTATTCGTTACATCTGGTAAGTTCATGATAATTAAAGACTCCTTTCTTCTTTAAAAATCAATTTTCATTTCGACGTCTGATTTTTATTTTCAAACTTATGAATCCACAATTAGTTCTCTTCAATCAGCATTTTTTCTGCTGACTCACACAGGGAATCCCTATGGTAAAATCTCGCACTTGTGCTCTCTGGAATTTAAAATTAGATGCGCTCAACTTCTTTTTCTTTCTACTCTGGGAAAAATTAAATTTCATTTTTAATTACGTAGAATTTGACATTATATTTTTTACTTTTAATATTGGAGTGGTTTTCAATATATACTCCGCTAATAATTCCGGGACCCAAAATTATCCAAAATTACTGTACCCAAAATTATGAATTTTGAGAAAAGTGGTGGTAAAGTCTCGAAAAAACTTGTTTTTTGATATTATCATTTTTCAGGGCTCGAACTAGATAAAATAACTAAATAAAATAATTATTTAAAATTTTTTTCTGACTAAAATTTGACTACGGGTAAAACAAACGAAATTGGACATTTATGTCTGACTAAAATGGACTTTTACTACTGAAGAACAATTTGTTTTAATTTTTTATGACTAAAAGTCACTTATGCAACTGGGAGAAAAATTACAAGAAAAATGCTGTGGTTTTGACTACTTGTAACAAAAAAAAACTAAATTAGATATTTCTGTCTGACTAAAACTGACATTTAGTACTGAAAAGCAATTATTTTTAATTTTTTTTAACTGAAAGTGCAAAAGTCACTTTTGCTGATGGGAGAAAAATTACAATAAAATTAAAATCGTTTGACTACTGATAAGAAAAAAAAAACGAAATTAGATATTTCTGTCTGACTAAAATTGACTTTTACTACTGAAAAACAAATATTTTTAATTTTTGTTTACTAAAAGTGTAAAAGTCACATTTGATACTGGGAGAAAAATTACAGAAAAATTAACATCGTATGACTATAGTGATATCAAAAGAAAACGAAATTGTACATTTCTGTCTGACTAAAATTGACTTTTACTACTGAAAAACAATTATTTTTAATTTTTTTCTGACTTAAAGTCACTTATGCAACTGGGAGAAAAATTACAAGAAAATTAAAATCGTTTGACTACTGATAAGAAAAAAAAAACGAAATTAGATATTTCTGTCTGACTAAAATTGACTCTTACTACTGAAAAACAATTTGTTTTAATTTTTTTTTTACTAAAAGTGTAAAAGTCACTTTTGCTACTGGGAGAAAAATTTACAAGAAAATTAACATGGTTCGACTAGTGATAACAAAAGAAAACAAATTAGACATTTCTGTCGGACTAAAATTGACTTTTACTACTGAAAAACAATTATTTTTAATTTTCTTCTGACTTAAAGTCACTTATGCAACTGGGAGAATAATTACAAGACAAATGATGTGGTTCGCCTAGTGATAGCAAAAGAAAATGAAATTGTACATTTCTGTCTGACTAAAATTGACTTTTACTACTGAAAAACAATTATTTTTTATTTTTTTTTTACTAAAAGTGTAAAAGTCACTTTTGCTGCTGGAAGAAAAATTACAGGAAAATTAACATCCTTTGACTACTGTTAACAAAAAAAAAAAAAAAAAACGAAATTGGACAATTCTGTCTGACTAAAATTGAGTTTTACTACTGAAAAACAATCATTTTTAATTTTTTTCTGACTAAAAAACACTTATGCAACTAGGAGAAAAATAACAAGAAAAGTAACACCGTTTGACTACTGATAAAAAAAAAACAAAATTAGACATTTATGTCTGACTAAAATTGACTTTTACTACTGAAAAACAATTATTTTTAATATTTTTCTGACTAAAAGTCACTTATTCAACTGGGAGAATAATTAGAAGAATAATTCTTTGGTTTGACTACTGATAACAAAAGAAAAACGAAATTAGATTTTTCTGTCTGACTAAAATGGACTTTTACTACTAAAAAACTATAATTTAAAATTTTTTTCTGACTAAAAGTCACTTTTGCTACTGGGAGAGAAATTACAAGACCAATGCTTTGTTTTTGACTATTTGTAACAAAAAAGCGAAATTAGACATTAATGTCTGACTGAAATTGACTGTTACTACTGAAAAACGATTTTTTAATTTTTTTCTGAATAAAATTTACTTATGCAACAGGGAGAAAAATTACAAGTAAAATTACACAACTTCCTTTGAATTCTTGAATTAAAACCTAAAACGTGAACTTTAAGATCAATTTTCACAAGTCCAAAAAATAGAGGATTTTAAAAAAAGTGGGGGGGGGGTAAAGACCCAAAAAAAAACTTTTTTGTCTCATTTCTGACATGGGAGTCGATTCCAATGTATTTTTGCCAGCTGGATACGATTCCTGGTCTCAAAATTGCCTAACACGTCAAGATTTTCAAAAAATTGGGTATAATGACCTAAAAAAAAATCACCTCCAGATTTTGACCCCGAAAAAATTGTTTGATACAAATAAATATTATTTTGACAATAGACAAAGAATCGTTTATTCGAATGAAATAAATTTTTTGTTCATTGTATATTTATATAAAAAGTATAATTTATAAGCAATGATAGCTTTTTGTCGGGAAAAATTAATTCTTATGTATATATACATTTCATGCTTTCTAATAAAGGCCATTGTTGATTAAAACTTTATTTTGTATTTTCCATCGCACAGTTCGTGATGATAGGAATTTTTTTTTTAGTTGTGAGGCTGTGAGGGGAGGTGAAAGTATAGCGAAATCACAATGGAAGCCAATTTAACAATCGATCTTCTCTCAATGAAGAATTCAGGGAATATTTCATTTTCCCTACGCTCTTGATATCCGCATGTCCTATCCGATATTCATTTAATTTATCAACTTTATATAGATAGTTTTTGTGTGAAAAAAAAATTGATATATTCTCTCTCTCAAAAAAAAAAGAATAAAATTAACAGTTGTACTTAAAATTTTTTGTTTACTTTATCTGAATTTTTAATTTATGAAATTAAATGAAATGTTGTCTTGATTTTATAAATATATGCAAAGTGATACAGACGTTGGCGCTAAACTTGTTGATTACAATTTCTAAGTACTTTCGCTTAATTCGCTTTGTCGATCAAATAATCCTTTACACGTACAGGAGCTGGATGATGTAATCTTCTTTGCTACGTGGAATAATTAGTGGAGTAACCTCCTTTCATGTTCTATTTAAATTGAATTTATTTTTTTTTTCAAAATTATTTATTTATCTTTTTATTATAATTCAAAAATTATTTTCAATTAGGAAATTTTGTTAAAATCAATTAATTCGTTGTTCAATATTCGTATTTGAAGGTAAAATTTAAATCTCCAAATGAATATTGGTTTTTTTTGCTAGAAAGTTTTCGCTCTGACTACTTAACTTTTCCTAATGGACTCGTTTGGATAAAGTTTTTATCTTTAGTGGTATTAAGAAAAAATGTCTTAAAAATCTTTTTATCACTCCCGAGACGAAATTTGTGAAACTTTTATAGATTCATATTTGAAGTGATTCGGGTTTTAAATTGTCACGGGTAGTTTTCTTTATTTTTTATTTTTTTTTGTTTCTTTTTGACAAGGAACGTAATATCCCTGAATGAATGCACGTCAAAAATTATTTACATTCATTCGGGACATTTGGTTTTTATCCTCTAGCAAATGATGTCTTCTTTGCAGACACGACTAACCACTATAAAGTTTCAAATACATCATGAACGTCGGCTTTTCTCATTCATTTCCGACAAACCACCACATATCCTACATACTATTTTTCTGTCCATGTTTCCTGCATATATGAAGAGATTTTTCTTCTAGAAAATATGACAGTTTTTTATTAAAAATTATATGGTCCCTTAATTTTTTTTTTTTGATGCTACACATGATCCAATATATCTACAGTCGGTAAAGTAGATTTAGATGTCGCCACTGTTGCCAATTTTAGAATTTCATAACCTGGGTAAAAAAAAAATCAAATTAGACTTTTTTGTCTACAATCTCTTTTTTAGTATTTTTGTTTTCTTTTACGTTTTTTCAGGCATAGGGATGATAATAATTACAGACTTCGCATTTGATAATTAATTTTACAAATGTAGCAAAAAGTAGCTTTCAAAGTAAAAAAAGTAGTAAAAAAGGAGCTTTCAAACTAAAAAGAGTAGTAAAAGAGTAGTAAAAAAGTAGCTATCGAAAAATTAAACTTGACGACCAAAAATACTCGTTTTAGACACTTCACAAAACTGACAAAACTTCCAGTCAATATTTTTTATTTTCCTGACTTTTTCCTAATTTTCATCAAAATTATTTACTTCTTTCTTATCCTGATAAGAAATTTAATTCCTGCAACGAATTTTATAATTGATGAAAGAATTTAAATATTTATAAAAATCATTTAATTATTGCGAAGAATATTATATTATTGACTAATTTTATGCAAATTCTAATTTAAATAATTGAATTCCTGAGAAATTTGTATTATTCATGAAAAGAATTGAATTCATATGAACAATTTTACAAAAATTTTTTTAAATACTTGAATTCTGTTTGGAAATTTTATGAAAATAGTAGATATTGAAAATCATTGAATTGCGAAAAGTTTTTGAAAATAATTAAATTTTACAAAGAATTCTATATTAAAATTGTTGACAATAATAATTGAATGTCTGTGTGGTATTTTATTAAATTTCGTTGAAAATAATTGAATTCTTAAAAAGCATTTTATTATTTATGCAAATAATTGAATTCTTGCGAACGTTTTTATTAGAATTTTTTTAAATAATTGAATTTCTAAGAAGAAATTTACTACTTTCAAAAATAATTGAATTCTTGTCATGAATATTGTTATTTATGAAAATAATTGAATTTTATTAAAATTCCTCAAAATAATTGAATTTTTGAATAATTTTGTTATTTATCGATATAATTGAATTTTTTTCTAAGAATTTTATTAAAATCTAAAGGAGTAATCGAAATATTTCAAAAAATGAAATTAAAATTGTATTTGAAATAATTGATAT